AGTGTGCCATGCTATTGCAAGTGCAAACAGAGGGTGGAGGAAAGAGAGATTTTATTGCCCTTCATAGAGGACAGCTAAGTTTCTGATTTCAGCCATTACTTCCCAGGGTATTCTCTTATTTATTCAGCCTCAGAAGGGAAATTTGCATCAAACACAAAGGTTGAGATAGAGGGCTCCTTGTGTTAGCTCTTACGCAGGTTTCTGTTATTCAACAAATTTCACTGACAAGGAAAGAAGATGGAACTAGTATAGCCAGATTGGGTTTCATGTGGAGGATAATATAAAGCATACATAACATTGAATGAAGGACACAGGGCACTGATGACATGTTGAAAAAACCTCATCTGAGGTTACTCAGAGATGCCTCGAGTTATATTTGTATGGTAATGAATCCATTTTTGCACAGTGGGAATGGTGCACTGGTGCCCTCAGGTGGCCTTTATGTGAATAAAAGAAGAAAGATGTCGTGTTTCTGTGACTTTGCAAGCGAAAAATTCAGTCGGGATGTTTTTGGATATTAGAAATGGAGATGTTTTAGATATGTTTTTTTTGATATTTTGGATTTTTGCCTATTTTCCTGAAGCTTCAAAATATATGACTTTGTTAACCTATTAATAGCTTTTAGTTACCCGTATTTGCTCGAGTCTAACGTGCCATTGAATCTAATGTGCCTCTCAATTTTCAAAGCTGTGCCGTCACACCTGGGGGCTATAACTCTTAATGAGAGAGGCATGGACGTGGCATCTTTCCCCAGGGGATTGCTTCTTGCCCTCTGCGATGATGCTAGCCAATTGTACAGGGCTGCTACCAATTTGCGAAGTCTGCACGCACCAGTTGTACAATTGTGCTAATTGCTAAGGTGCTACAGTTCCAACAACAGACAGGGTATAGGGTTTTTAACTTTAAAGAACCCACCGTCTGTCACCAAAAGTATAGACTGTTCTTAAATTCTGCCACCAATTATTCAGGTGTGGATGATTATGGATGTAATTTAAGGTAACTGCCACCAACGTGAGGTATTGCCGATGAGAACTGGCTCCCCAGACGTAGATAAATGGAGATAACACGGTCTTCAACAAAAGTTAATAAGTTTATTTTGTACAAAGCGTATGGTTGCAGGCTGTTAATTATACTGGAATAACTTTGAATAACTTATAGAACTTTGAATGTAACTGGGTTTGCAATACAGTTCACTCTTCTCGATGATACAACTTGTAATTGACTTTTACTGTGGTGAAGTACTTTCTTAAACAATGTTTCCTGAGGTGAATAGCCTTCCTATTTGATCCTTTCTTGATCAAATCCTAGATCCCTAGTTCTTTCCTAACTAGTGATCTAAACAAGCTTCCCTTAGTCCTCTCTGACTAATGAAACTAATTAGGTTTCCCCCTTCAGCCTTCCTAGACTGAAGAAACCTCTGGCTATTCACACACACTGCTTCTCCACTCTCCACTCTCCTCTCTCAACTGCTAACTCCGAACTCCTAACTCCAACTGAACTGCTTCTTTTTCAAAAACGCAGATAACATTCTCTTCTCACTTTTCACTCTCTGAGCTAGCCTGCTTGGTTTCCTTGGCAACCTCCTGTGGATACAACCAGTTAGCTCTAGCTTTCAGCTACTGTTACCAAAACAAATATATTCTAACAGTTAAACATATATACAGTATCAATGACTTCTGTACACCCTCCTATAGGAAACTGGAACTCCCAAAGACTAAAACACAGCAGATAACTCGAAATGGTATTTATTGTTCACAATGAGTTATCTTTCTCAGGCATAAGCTTGATGTTTCAACAGGGATAAAAGAAATATACTTTACAATCTCTGAAGCCCCAGGAGTTTGTAGCTGAGAAGCCTTTCCTGTTTCCTCTTTCCTCAATGGCTGTGAATGCCGGAACAAACCACAACCCCAGTTCAAATGGCCTATGTTTGAAGACTCAGGACCTTTCTCTGGTGCCAAAAGAACCAGTTTGAAGGCGCTTGAGACTTCCAACATCATTCAGGTTGTTCTGAACATGAAGCATGAGTCTCAAGGGTAAAAAACCTCAGAACTGGTGCTGAGAGGTAATTTAAGCAGGGGCTTTTAGAGCCAAGTCTCTTACTCACGTCCATCCGATAGAAACTCTGATGGCAGAATGATAAGGGAAGCACTCCCCTCCTCCAGGAAGAGGTGGAGCCAAACAATACTGATTGACAGCTATAAGTAACCAATCAATCCAACTTATACATAAGCAGGGTAAAAAGGCAGGATTAAGCATGCTACAACAGCTTAAATCTTGCAACTAACAGTTCTACACATAGGTGGCGCCACTCACGCCGTCACAAAAGCCCTGAAACCAACAGGAAGTTTTTGCTGGTGTCCCTGGTTGCGCAGTGGGTTAAAGTGCTAAGCTGCTGAGCTTGTTGACCGAAAGGTCACAGGTTTGAATCCGGGAGCAACATGAGCTTCCGCTGTCAGCCCCAGCTTCTGCCAAACTAGCAGCTTGAAAACATGCAAATGTGAGTAGATCAATAGATACTGCTCTGGCGGGAAGGTAACAGCACTCCATGCAGTCATGCCAGCCACATGACCTTGGAGGTGTCTATGGACAACGCCAGCTCTTCGGCTTAGAAATGGAGATGATCACCACATCCCAGAGTCGGACACGACTGGCCTTCATGTCAGGGGAAAACCTTTACCTTTACTACAGCAGAAAAAGATACACTCTTTTTAATGTGACCTTTACAGTTGCTGCCTGCTTGGAATTCCTTTTTTAAAAAACAAAAGTGTTAGAAGCTTTTCATTGAATCATAGAATCAAAGTTGGAAGAGACCTCATGGGCCATCCAGTCCAACCCCCTGCCAAGAAGCAGGAATATTGCATTCAAATCACCCCTGACAGATGGCCATCCAGCCTCTGCTTAAAAGCTTCCAAAGAAGGAGCCTCCACCACACTCCGGGGCAGAGAGTTCCACTGCTGAACGGCTCTCACAGTCAGGAAGTTCTTCCTCATATTCAGATGGAATCTCCTTTCTCCAGGGAAGCAGAAAACAAGCTTGCTCCCTCCTACCTGTGGTTTCCTTTCACATATTTATACATGGCTATCATGGCTATCATGGCTCCTCTCAGCCTTCTCTTCTCCAGGCTAAACATGCCCAGCTCCTTAAACCGCTCCTCATAGGGCTTGCTCTCCAGACCCTTGATAATTTTAGTCGCCCTCCTCTGGACACATTCCAGCTTGTCAATATCTCTCTTGAATTGTGGTGCCCAGAATTGGACATAATATTCCAGGTGTGGTCTAACCAAAGCGGAATAGAGGGGTAGCATGACTTCCCTAGATCTAGACACTATGCTCCTATTGATGCAGGCCAAAATCCCATTGGCGTTTTTTGCCACCACATCACATTGTTGGCTCAGGTTTAACTTGTTGTCCACAAGGACTCCAAGATCTTTTTCACATGTACAGCTCTTGAGCCAGGCATTGTCCCTCATTCTGTATCTTTGCATTTTGTTTTTCCTGCCAAAGTGGAAAGAAATTGAAAGAAAACCTTGGGGTGCACCTATGCTTTAGAATGAATCCACTTGTATTGCCTTTATTCAACGTTATGGAATCATGGGAGCTGTAGACTGAAAAGGTCTTGAGCCTTCTCTGCCAAAGGACACGGATGCCTCACCAAACTACAAATTCCAGGATATGACAATTAAATTACAGATGACATCTTACAAATAGGAGTTCCAGGTCCTCCTGAAGCAGTTTCCCCAACTGAATACATTTAAAAACATGGCAAATACCAAAAAAATTGAAAATAATTAAAAATACAATTAAA